TGTGGGCAAAAGGGTGGTCATCAATTCCAGTCCAGGATGGAGACAGAAACCACAGGATCCCTTTCACTTCTGCCCAGCCCAGAGCAGACTGCTGGCAGCACTGTCCTTCATTTAAAGATTTAAAGGGAGGTCTCAGAAGAACAGAGAAAAGCAATTGTCTTACTTTTTCTCCCCTGTTCTCAATTTTTTCCTCCATCACTAGAAGTCAGAGATGAAAAAATATGTAATACACATCTCTTGCATGAGCCCTGCAAGACAAAATACTTAGCAGCCAGAAAGAAAAAAGGACACTGAAAAAAGTTTCAATTTGTAGATCTTGCATTCAGTCCTAAGTCTATCAGTTCCTACTGTTTGACCTCGCACAAGTCATTCAACATTCAAGCATTTATTTATTCACATATATATGGCTAAGAATGCTACCAGAATAGTTTATCAGACGGCAGATCCAAAAAATGTTTTTAAACACTAATGACTTATGCAAAAGGGCAACTACCATTAGCATGAAATATCTAACAAGTTTCTGCCTTCTTAGAAAGAGCATGAAGTCTGGCACATAAGAAGTTTCCTTCTCTCTTTGATTCCACAGGCAAATCTCCTTAGTCACTGATCTTTGCTGTCTACGTCCAGAGAAAACTCACCCAAAGTTCATTCTCTAGACTGGGTCAGAGGCTGGGGCTCCAGTCTAGAATTCTGTACAGGACAGTAGTATCACATAAAAGTTTGCATTCAGTTGTTCTATCCTCAAGAGGTCAGGGACAGATCCAAACACACTTTATTTACTATAAGCAAAGGGATCTGCCTCAACTTTATTTAAACTTTTCCTGGGAATTTTTATTTCTAAGAATACCTACTCTTTTGGGAGTAACCGATGAACTCCTTAAACTCAGCAGCTACTATCTTACTAAGGATAACAGCTTCCAAAAATGTATTTGCATTCTAGAGCCCTGGAAGGTAATGAACAAGACCAGAGACATCAAGCCTTGGCCATGAATTCTTATTAAGTGAGACTTCACAAAACAGCACTTAAGGACCTAAACTCCTTTAACAAACACTGATGACTACTAGTCATTGATATAGATTCCAAGAGTAAAAATTAAAATTTAAGTGAAAGCAATACATACAGATGAAGTCTAAATAGCATTCATAAAGTCTCTACAGAAATGGGCCTAATTCCCAAGTCCACGACTTACGGGCTGTGTGACCATGGGGAAAATACTTAATTGCTGTAAGCCTCAATTTGTTCATTTGTAAAATGGGGCCAATGATAATAGCAAAGGATGAACATTAAATAAAAGTATAAACTGGGCTTGTACGCAGTAAGAACGTTAATAACTGGTAACTATTGCTACTCTTATGAAAAAGGCCTTGATAATAAATGTACATTCCTTATCTTCACTCGTTTCTTTAATCAAATGTTTCTGTGCTTTCAGAGAGGACTAAATATAGTATATAATATACCCCAGGTAAGCCCCCTATATTTTCTATGAAACCACTAAAACGTGTCTCAACTGGATTCTACACCTTCCTAACTCTAGTTATTTACTAGTTAAACCTTGCAGACAACTCACTTCATCTCATCGGGCCTCAATTTTCTTCTAAAATTGCGATAACAATTGTTTCTTCTCATTCATAAAGCTCACATGAGATTCTGTGTAGTCAGGTACACTAGGCACCTCCGAACATTTCGTACAGGGCAACAACTCAGGAAATACGCAGTACGTGTATCCTCCATCATCACCAAAATAAAATGCTAGCCCAATAGAAAATCACCATGCAAACCTTCAGGGACCATGCTAGTCTCTCTCTTACAAAAAGCACTACACATTACCCACTTAAGTCTTTAAAAGAGAATCTCTCCTACTGCCTCCCTCACAGAGGTCCTAATTAAATGCCAGCCTGCTCCCTCCTTGAGAGAACCCTGTCTTCTCCTATTCACTGACTCATAACTTCCAAATGGTCATGAGTAAAATGGCACACATCAGTGTGGTTTGGTTGCTGAGTAAGCAAAACTCCGGCTTTCTGCCTGGAAAACACTCAGGCACTAGGACAAACCTTGGCTGAATACCAGTGGGTCTATTCCTGCCCCTAAAGGCAGCCACACTGACTCCACAACCATGTGTGATTCTCTACCCTCAAAGGTAAGGCCCAGAGGCAAGCTCTGGGCCTCTTGTATTTCTGATTCTTTCTGGTAATGTATTTCTGTTATGTATTTCTGATTCTTTCTGGGCTCATCACAAAAATAAAGGCAGCAGCATCTGCACAACACAATATATTCCTTGCCAAGCAGGCAAGGCAAAAGAGACAGTATGGGGTTAATTTGAGCTTCTAAGCTTAGAGATCTATTTCTTGGTTGAGCTCTATATATGTTAATTAGTAATCCAAAGAGCAGAAAAGGTCATAAACAGAAAGGTACTAGGAAAATATGGTTTTTTAAAAAAGAGAATTCCAAGTTACCCAAATTAATCCTTGTTCTGGAATTTCCTCATCACCAAAAAGTACCCAAAAGTCCTATTCCTAGGAATAACCAAAAAAATAACACAAACCACATAAAGTTTTCAAATATCTTGCTTGTAACGTGTATCCCAACAAGATTTATGACATATGCCCCAAGCTTCCCTTGTACTACCCAAGGCAGTAACCTTGAACTCCATATTTTTAAATAAAACAGTAATCCAACTAAGGCACTTATAATAGTGAACCCCCTCCATATATGTAACTTGGAAAGAAATCCAACTGTGGTGGTTATCAGTAAGAAAACATTTCACATTTATGCAAAAGATAAATGCTCAAAAGCCCAGCCTCACAGAAATATGACTTACAAGATGTAGACTGGAACTAATAAGTTCTTAACCAATAGTCACATTGAGAAGAAGAATCATCAAATTATGCCATCCTGAAGAAACATTTACATTTTTTAGAAAAGGGGTATCATCAATGTACTCTAATATGATGCTTTTCATTTCTAGCGTGGTTGTAGTTTCTCAAGTTCACAGGTAGACCAATACTTTCATTACGGATGGATCTATTTTTTCTACCTTACTTTGCAAGACAGTATTATACACACAATCAGTTGCATCTGCATTTAAATTTAGTTATGTCAGACTAAGATCAAAAGCAGCTGCATATAATTTAACCTCCACTGTATCCTAAGGCATCAGCGAAATACACACAAATAATCCTAAAATCACCAGAAACTACCCTTATCAGTCATTGCAGTAGAAGAATACAGTAATACTATCTGAGTGTGCAGAAAACTAGTGATGGCTCTATTGGAAGAGATCAATTTATTTAGAAGGAACAGAACCCTACAGTCTAATCAATCATCCTTTAGGGGTGCAAGCAGTAAGTACAGATAAAAGATGCAAAATGCTTTCATAGCCACATGTTCCAATTTACTACAATTAAGTGAATGCCTGGCAACTCTGTTTAATCACAGCTAATAACCATTAACCAGTCAGGCTAGTGTAAGACACTTACAGTTTCCAAAGTAAAAAAAAAATAAAAAAAATCAATTTACCTTGATTTCAAACACCTACCTAGGTGGTATTTGCCCAACCACTTCAAAATTCATTTCCATCACCTAAGAGTGACTCCAGAGGGAACCCCAGAAAGCATCCCCAACTGGAATGAAATGCTTATACTACTTCACAGCACCTAGACGGCAGCACTAACAGAGGCCTCGCCTGTCCTAAAATTTAGGGCTCTCAAGCTTCCAAACGCCAGCTCTGCATATATTAAAGGATGAGCAAATATCAAAACCGGTATCGAGAAGTTTGCCTGCAGAAATTTAAGCTTCCCAATATTACAGAGGGTTGGCCAGAGTGGTCTTAGTTTAGAAAGCCCTCCCCAAACCTCAAACAGAGAATCACCAACAACCCCCCCTCCCAACACACACATCACTACTACACAATCACCCTGGGGAAAACTGGCTGCTTTTCTAAGGTCCACCCAAGGCCGATTTTTCTGTAGGAATAGGTTTGGCTTGTTCGGAGAGCAGGGATGCCTGATGGCACTCACACCTAGTGCGGAGTGGCAGAACAAACGTCCTATTTTCATAGAGGCTCCAAAGGCTTCTGTAGCTCCTGGCCTTGCAGGCTTCATTTTATCATCTCACTTTATCAGGTAACTCACTTAAAAATTTAAAGCAAATCGCTTTGCCCTGGACTCTGCCCTGAACACACACTGGTGCTTTTTTTGGAGAGTCCAGTAGAGAAGAGCTATTCTTTCTGCAGCCTCAGGTCCCATGTCTCCCAATCTAGTTAGCTCTGCAGGCTGCATGGGCCTCATCTCCCTTCTCAGGCTTTCAGTGCCCTGCAAACCTGGTGCAGCAGCCTTTAGCCCTACCAAAATCACGGAGGAGAGGGGGGCCAGACAGGTCAAATACGCATAGATTTCCTTCCACCTGGGCTTCCGGCACCGCGGACACCCAAAGCTAGCGGGAGGAGTGCTGGGGTGGTGTGACAGTCTCAGCCCTAGTTCCTTCTTTTCCTTTGGGTTTTTTCCACCGGCCCTTATCTCCGCAGCTAAGCTTGCCCGGCCAGCAGAGAAGTGCATACACTCCCCATCTCCGGGTCCCTTGCTGGTGACCTTGACCACGCTGCTACTTCTCCTCTCTGCCCTCAGTGGCCTGACACCTACTTCGCAGGTTAGGAGAGGGTCACCACGAAGTGGAAGCGCAGACAGAATACCTGCCTCTCAGGCAGGGAGCCAGACAGGCAAAGGACTTCCCTCTTCGGCTTCCCCAGCTGTCCAGAGCTCTCTCAGTCCTTCCCCGCCTGCAGTCCCTGGACCTTTGATACTGCAGGGCCCCCGAAAGAGCTGGCAAACAGGGAGGAGGATGCCCATGTGATACCCCCCATTCGCCTGCGAGCCGGGGGCTCCGGAGGGGGTGTGGCACCGCCAGCCCCTAACACCCCCTTGCTTCCCAGCTCAGGGGCAGACCATCAGACCGCCAGGCAGCGGCTGCGGGCGGGTGGCGGCGCGGGTCCCCCGGGATATACCTCCTCCAGCAGCGTAACGGTGTTCCTGCAGTTGTGCAGCCGCGTGGTGAAGCTGGACGTGGTGGGCGAGTTGTAGTCCTCGGTGGTCTCGGCGATGAACTCGGAGACAGAGATCTGGTCCGGCATCCTGCCGGGGGGGACGAGACACAAGCGGGGGCGGGGGGTGAGTCACGGCGCAGACTCCCGGGGTTGCGGGCCGCTCGGCGGTTCATGAACGCCTCGCGCGGAGCCCGCACCCGCCGCCGGCGCCCGGCCTGGCGCGGCTCCCGGCCCGGCCGGCGGGAGGAAGGGCGCGCGAGGGCGGCGCTGGGCGCGGGGCCCTTCAAACTCCGAGCCGCGCGCGAGGCAGGGGGGTCCGGGGCAGCCGCCTCCCTCTGCTCATGCCAGCGGCAACGGCCACTCTGCGGCGGCGGGACCAGGCGCGGGGTCGGGCCGGCCTCGGGGGCGTCCGCGGGGCCAGGCGGCTCCTCAAACGCTCTGACAGGCGGCGGCGAGGCCCGGCTGACTGAGCGCACAATCCCGCGGGCGGGCGGGCGGGCGGGCGACGCTCCCGCGCCAGTCACGGGGACAAACAAGGAAGTGCTCTGCGCACGCGCCGCCCCCCCAGGCCCCCGCCCTTCGACGCCCCCGCCGCGGCCCCCGCCCCCGGCCCGCCTCCCCGCACCGCCTCCTCCCCACCCCCCGCCTCGCGGAGACGCGGGCGCCCCGGGCGGAGGCCGCGAGCTTGCGGGGCCGTCCCTGGCTGGTTACTTCAGCTAGCTCTGCGCGAGTGTGTTGCGAGAGAGGGGGTCCAAAAAAAGTTGACCGTGTTCTTTTTTAGTCCGGTGTGGGTGCAGGAAGCCAGGCCGAGAGATCCGCCCCCCGCTGCGAGGGCTGAGGCGAGCGCCTGGGTGCGGAGCACCGGGCTGGGGTCCCCCGCTCGCAGCGCCCGCCCTCCCGCTGCAAGGCGCTCGCAGCCCTCGGAAAGCTGGTTTTGTGCAATGACTTAGGTCGCTGGAAGGCCGAGCAGAGACAAATGGAAAGGTTGTAGTATTTTTACAATTTCCTAATTTCATAATAACCGGGAGGAGAGTGGAGAGGAAGATAGTGTAAAGTCACCTCCCTGGGGGAGATGGTCTTCAATGCTAAGCAGAAGAGATTTCACCTGAAAAAGTACCAGCAGATACTTCACCCCTCGATCCCTGCAAATGGCTATTTTTTAAAGTAGCTCAATCCATTATAGTTTAAAGAATCCATCCGATTTCTCACCATTGACTGAAAGAAATCAGCCTTACTCGGAATGGGGGGAAAGCAACACTACGGGAGCCTGAGGCCAGAGGATCACAAGTTCCATCCCAGCCTTGGCAACTTACTGAGACTGTCTAGAAAAAATAAAAGGGCATGGGGGGCTGGGATATAGCTCCCTGTGAAAGCCCTAGGTTCAAACCCCCAGGGCTTTTGTTAAAAACAAATCTCTGCCCTCAATGCCGCTTTAGGATTGGGTGTTATAATTGGACCCTAGAAAAATTCTCTTACAAGCAGCCCTGTAGCTGATCTTGGTAATTTGTCCCTTCAGCAGGAAAGCTCTGGCCTCCCCAGGATGAGCTCCTGCCACTTGGTATGGTGAGGGGTATGTTATCTGGTCCTGAACCCTGCCTACTGGCTGAGGGCTGTAATCTTAGCATTGGGCCTAGCATGAAGTCCAGGACTACAGTCCACATAAGAATGTGGCATCTTTTTCAACACACACTCACCAAGAGCCTGCCAGGAGCTCTGGAGATTCAATGGATGACAGGGACTCTTGCTCTAGTCCAGCTTATCAGAACCACAGCAACAGCAACTAGAGTGTAAACTTTATACTCTACAGAATGTTCAGAAAATGCCTCTCTGACAAGGTAGCAGGAAAGGAGACTGAATCATGCAGATATCTGGTTGGTTATGAGATCCTGGGCCCTCCAATTCCCCCCATGAAGGTGAAAGACAAGGGTTCCAATCCCAGGAAACTGTAGTTACAGGTTAGGGAATGAGAACATACTTTCAGCAAGGGAAAGCCAGAGAGGTGTATCACCCTTCACTGCCACTGCCCCACCTACAGTGCGCCTCCAGGAGGTGCTCATCTGGGTCTTCCAAGGGACCCTGCTCTAGGAAGGAAAGTGTTTCAGCAAACTAAGGGAAACATTTGGAAAGGAAACGCACACCACTACTCTTCCCTGGGAAATGTTGAAAAATTCATTTAGAGAGGCATTTTCTAAAAAATTAATAAACAGGTATCCGCTTTCTCCTTGTCAATAATTTCATAGCTTGGTCGTGGAATTTGAAGGCATGAGGAAGGAGCCAGATGGAGATAGTAAGCTGTTGAAGATAGGGACTGCTTGGGTGCAATGGATGCAAAGCACTGGCTTCTGAAGGATGAGCCAACAAGGAGGAAATTGTTCCTCTTTTTCCATGCCTCTGGAAAGTTGTTGAGTTGGAGCAAATATGGCACCTACTGGCTTGGACTAAACTCTGAGAGTCTCAGGAATGACACACTCCCCCACAAACCATCCGGAACATAGCACCAAGCACTTAGACTCATTTCAGAAGGTTTTCCTTCCTGCAGTCTGGAAATAAATCCAGATTTACGAGTTTTGCGTTTATTTTATTCTTCCCTCTATTCCAAGTTGTCACATAGCACCTATCATCTCCACTGAACTGATAGCTCTCCTCATCCTCTAAATGTGACATATAGAAAACAATAAGTAGAAACTGTAATTAAAAGAATAAATTGATGAATAACTGCCTCAACTCTGAGAAGCCTCGGGTTCCAAGAGTCTAGAGATTTCTCTCCTGATATCTGATGTTGTCTCCTAGGGCCTGACTACCAGCCCTGTAGTAGGGGAGGGTGTGTCAAAACGAGTGTATGGAGCCCTCCTGGTTGGAGCAGACTGGTGAATAAACTCAGCAATGCAGATGCAAGGAATCAAGATTCCTACCACAAGCTAAGCCAGCTGTGATGGTAAACAGCTGGGGTTTTCTTTCTTGACTGAATTCGCCAGAGAGTGCAAACTGCTAGCATCAATTGCTATTTCAGTTTCATTTGAAGATTATGTTATGTATCTCCTCCCCTGCCTCAACCGGCCAAGAAAAGAAAATGTGAACAATGAGACATTGTGCTGTGGTAAGTATATACCTACTCAGCCTGATCTGCAATTAGAATTTCAAAGGTTCACACCTCAACCCACCATTTCTGGGGTTCATGGACCATAATCCTCTTTAAATTTGAAACCATGCCCCAGTGCAAACCATCTGTACCTCTCAATTTCTCAAATACCCTAAAAATCACTTCTGGATATTTGAAAGCAAATAGAGTCTGATGTGAACAAAACTTAAGTGCTGGATTTCTTTGCATGGAGCTCCCCAAAAATATGTACAATACTTTCCAGGTCAGGAAACAGACAGACAGACAGACAGACAGACAGACTTGTGCAGACAGCTCCCAGCTTTATATAAAGCAAGCATTGTGTTTGTTGTCATCATTACAATTCCCCTCAAAGACATTTTGGCACTTTTAGCCCTTTCATCCTGTTCAGTGCTGCTCACAGGGCCAAGATGGTAGTGTTGGCAGGAGATTCTTTGTCTCCTTGAATAGAGGAGGCAAGAACAGTGGTGGGTTATTCAATGACAGCAGTCTTGACTCCACTGTCATCAGGGAATTGGCTTGACTCACATTTCCAGTCGCAGTTCTCACTCTCCCCTCTGCCTTATAAACAAGGGGCACAATGACAAGATGACTGACAAGGAACCAGAGGTGAGAACTGGGATGGGAAGCCAGGGGTGTTCCCTGGGCCCGAGAAACCAGGGAAGCCACAGTGCAAGTGTTATGGTTATGTCTTGCTATGCCCCAAGCCTCATGTAGTCATGGAGGCAGCTCAGTCTAGTATTTGTGATTAGTTCATTTTCTAGTGCTGAGATTGGCAGTGTAAGTGCTGCTCCTGCCCAGGAGTGGGTAGCCAGCATACTAAACGGGAGGGAAGGAGGCATGCTGTCCCCCTTTTTCACTTTCACTCTTGTCGCTTGCAGCCACTATGAACAGATGCCCCTCAGCTATACCACCCTGCCTTGGAGCCAGCTGAGTGTGGACTGAAACTTCCAAAAACTGTAAGCTAAAGAAACTTTGTCTTCTCTACTTTTGGAGGTCTAGTGTTTTTTCTCAGCAATGAGACAAAAGTAACCAAGACAGCAAGCCAGCAATAGCATTCATCAGTGCCTCCCATTGCCTTTGTGGGACAGGGCAATGAGGAGGAGGAAAAGAGAAAATGCTTCCTATTATGTGAACCTAGGTTTGAATCTCTTCTGTCACTCGTTAGTCTTATTTCTCATTTGCAAAATGAGGGTAATAGGCAATAATGAAGCTTTGTTTCAAGTTATGTAGAATTAAATGAGAAGATGTGGATTAAGATGGTGATGCATGCTGAATAATCACCAATGTGAATTCCCTCTGAACCCTTTTATGTGAAGCATGACTACAATACATCTCTTTTCATTTCACAACTCACATATCTCTAAACTAATTACCTGGAAGAAAGAAGAAAAGGGGGAATTATTTCTCAGAGTTAGGGTTTCAGATGAGGGAATAGTTTTCCAAGACCTTTCTTATTCTCTTTAGCATCCTTTGTGAGATCAGGTCCATTAGTGATAGTTTTGGATTCTGGAAGTACATAAACAATATCTAGAGTCAAGCAGGATGAATGCCAATCAGAAATGGAAGTAGGTTGAAATCAGAAAAGCCCTCTCTTTACAAACCATAGCTCTTATAAGGATGCTGTTATGTTTTGTGTCTGGATGTCCCCCCAAAGCCTCATGCGAGTTTAGGTGGGGCTTTTTCAGAGGTAGTGGAATCTAGAGTGTGTGACTGATTTGTGGTCCAATGCTAGGATTAAAGGTGCTAGGATTAAACCTGCTAGAATTAAGGGCGGGTAATTACTGAATCAGCCCACTGATTGGTTTGGCACCACTCTAATCCCAATAGATTGGATACAATATAAAAGACAAAAAGAGGCTTGTCTTGTTTCTTTCTTCCTTTGCTACCATATGCCTGCTATGAACTGCCTCTCTGTGATGCCCCTCTGCCATCTACCCTGCCTTGTAGCCAACTGATTATGAACTGAA